TTGAGAAAGGTAAAGCACGAATTTCAGTCACTTGATCGTCGAGTTTCTGACGCAAGTAAACTACATCGTCTATGAATTGTAATGCTTCCAAGCACCCTGTCGTATTAAAAATTGTACAAGTAAACGTATTCTCAAACATGGCGGGTTATTGGAATATTTGGCACACGCACTTCGATGCTTTGCGCCACGCCCCAAGTTGAGCGGCAGTAAGTGTGGTCACCTGCCGTGTATACCCTACATTGGAATAGTCTCAACTTACCGGTGGCGTTTCAAGTTCGACTTTTCGGTTGCGAACCTGATTATAGAGTTATATGTGTGTTCTATGACATTAGTTAATAGGCCGGCCGGTTGACTGGTTGAAATTTCCATTGGACCTAGACTTTATCTATATAGTGGCGGTAATTTTGGTAAGGGAGTCCCTGGCAGTACTGATTTTGTGTCCTATTAATCTTGGTATGTTTCAATTTTTTTTTTAGGGTAGTTGTCTAAATTGCTTCAAATCCCAAGGTCTACATAGGTAGGAGCTATCTCTCTACATTTATTCAGTATGTACTTTGGATTCTATATCTAGTTTACTACATCAGTTACGGTCTGTTCAACTTGAACTGACGCCTTCCCATTCGAGCTAGAGTACGGGGAAACCTAATCAACATTGTAATAGGGGGAAAACCCGGACCAAGGCGAAACGGATGAAACCAAACCACCATAGCATCAAGATATTCAATGTCTTACCCGACGACTCAACCAACCACGTGGAGAACCTCATTTCACTGCCACATTTTAAGCGCTGCAAGCCCCAAAGTGAGAGAGTAGGGTGTACTTACTGGTCCAACGTCATCAACATAGTCGCTTTTACCATCACCCCCATCATAGCATTGATATTTAGGCATTCTCTCAAAACCAAGTTCGTCTGACGTCCCCTTCCGACAGTAGAGGAGAACGTTGTTGATATGCCAATCGTCTAGTGGATATCCCTCGCTACGTAAAACGTCCTTTATCTGATCCCTGTAGTTTCCTGGATATTTGTAAGACAGGTATGCCAGAACCAGATATAACATTTGTGAGGAAAGAAATCTTTAACTAGCTCAAGTACGTACCGACAGTCAGAAGGGTCTTTCCACAATAGTAAACATGGGCGGTGCAGTAGGCCTTTGGATGATATTCACCCCAGTCATAGTATCTCGCTGTAACTGAAGAAATCAGCACAGTGAGCAGGCCGAATGAGACTGGCAGCTGCATCTTCGTGATTGTAGAGGAAATTGCACTTTAGACTTGAGGTTTGCGAGTGTTGTTGGATGTTTGATCTCCTTGTGCGGGTAGAGGTAGCAATATATACCCAAGAGTAGCACGTAAACGTTAATAGAATACATATATACCCACGGCTACCATCATCTACAGAGCGCGGAAATCGATCATTCCAGGCCACTATACCGCAGGATTCCATTATTAGCTCTAAGGAAATAGAAAGAAGACAATGCGCTCTTGGTGTTTGTCTGCCATGTCCGTGGCGTTCCATCCATCCCCAGCCTACTCGACATGGATTCTAATCGGCTCACCACCACACTCCAGGCAGGAGGGATTCTAGAGAATGCAAGCATGTTTTCTCTTGTTCCCTTTGCGGTCATTCCGGTCGCATGAAACATACCCAGTCAGCGGCCTCCACGGACAATGTCCAAGTGTTCTGAAGACCACCGTCAGCCAGCCATAGGCGCCTCTTTAACATCGACGTTGTAGCCCGCGTGGTGATAAGGTCGCTCAGCTCACCATGGCTTTCAAACATATATACTCATACGAACCATAGCCCCTCGAATCAGGCTAAGAGTACTGCTGGGAGCCCTAATGTGTGAATAATGGCTGCATTAGCCTCCTTGGCAATGCGATGCTATCATCCATTCTAGATTTAGACACAGCCACCTGTTCTTCATGAGTTCCAGACCGCACGAGCCTTTTCGGGCCTCCCCGAGCGCGAACATACTGTCATGGTGCCCCCTTCTATCCCATGCCCATGTTCCCTTCAAGGAACACGTGAGTCTCTCAAATATTCTTACATAAAATCTGCTGTAGCTTGGAATCTGGGAACCGGGGGAATCTAAACCCAAGACATCAATGGGAACAGTCCGGGTGACAAACAAGAAAAGAGGGGTAGGGAACTATCTGGCTCCATTTTAAAACAAAAGCTAAGTTAAATGTGATCCGAGCATGCAGGGAACAGCCTGTTACCTTTCCGACTAAGGTATAGACACAGAATAGTTGGCTTGATGGCAAGCGGAGAGGGTACATTGGGCACTAAAGGTACTCGGAGCAGTATTCAAACAGGCATGGTGGCTCTCGAACGTAGTTTGACCAGCTGAAAGATGAGACCTGCGAGGTAGTTTAATCACTAGTGTCGCTCGTGCAGAACTTGACAGGACGTTGAAGAGTAGCAAATCTGATTTTGATTGGACTTGTTCGCGGGGCTGAAGCCCCTTAGCGGGGAAAATGCGAATGGTTCGTTGGTGGCGCTTCCGGCAATTCCGGCGTGTTAGTCTAGAAAATTAAGTGTAGTCGAGGGCTGGCTGGAGCCAATGTTGCCAAGCATGTCAGTGACATGGGTCTAGATCTTTTACGTGAACATAATTCGAAATAGCAAACAAATAAGCACTGCTCAAGAGTATAATCCCATTGTCCAGCAGTACTAAATTTTCGAGGGTGGCTTAGTATCTCCTCTCTGAGTACCTGTGGTCTGGTTAGTTTTTCTTAACTATCTATATTGAATTCATCTTATTACCTGCTTGCACAACTTAATGGAAACAGTTAGTTTGGAAGACCATACGCCAATCGACTTTTTATCGTACGATTTCATCCAGACGAGTAGTTTGCTCTCACAGCGGGATTCCCCCCATAGAAGAGGCATATGGAATGGTTCCATGCCCAGAATCTATCTTTCAGGTTCTGTAAAGGATAATAGAGATAAACATCCATAGGTATTACTAAGAGACCTTGAAGACCCAGACTAACAAAAGAAACTACGTCGTTCAATTCTGCGAGGTACTTGCCCATTCCTTCCGGGGGGATCCTGATGATCATGTATCGGAGCGACTTCACTTGCCATTTCTTCAGACAGAAAGTAAAGTTCGAGAAAGTTACAAGTCTCTCAGTAAGAAACACGGTTCAACTATAGGGCAGACAGACTTCTGGCTTCATAGTATATTCGAGGAAGCTGAGATTTATGTGGGTCCTCATACACGGTTCTCATTTTTATATAGAAGTCTAAATTCATGGTGTTTTAATTATTTTAATTTTTTATATGGCAGATGGTGCGCAGCTCGCTTGTGTGCGCAGCTCGTTTACCAATTACATTAATTGCTGTATTGATTAAAGATATTAACAGAAGCGTCTTAAAGAGAGAATGAATACTGATCACAAGACAAAAGCTTTAAGTAATAAAATCTAACCATTGCCTTAAATAGGGTGATAGATAAAAAGAACACGTCAGCTATTCAACAAGGCAGGGTTATTGGGTGAGTTTTAATGGGGTTAGTTAGAGTGAGCTTCAGGTTATGGAAGGTGAACTGAGTGAAGGTAAAGCGGCAAGGGGTAACAACAACTCAGAAAGAACGGGTGAACAAAAACATACAACAGGAGAGATTCGCTGGTGGTCACCCACCCAACTACTAACCTCCCGGCGTGTGGCTTAAGTACGGCTGAGCGGACGGGAAGCCCTGTTCTCCACACCCTATGGTCGTATGTACTTGATAGAGGACTATAGAGTATTATATAGTGCGTTTTACTCCACGCATTGTTGAGTATCAGTATAGAATCTGTTGAGAAGATCCGGAGCCTACCATGACCAGTCTAATGGGCAACTTGCGTATTGCTGTAGTGTCTAGCCAGGCGCATGTTATGGAAGTAGCGTTTGAATCTTAAGAGCGGTACGAGTACGGGTTCGATGAAAGTGTGGCCTATCGATCACTGAATCCCTCGGAATTTGAGGCTAGAGGTGCCAGGAAATTCACCACAGAGATAAATGGCTGGTGGCAGCCAAGCGTTCCTAACGATGTTGCTTTTTGATCCTTCGATGTCGGTTCTTCCTATCATACCGATCGGCAAAATGGATCCGTAACTTCGGGATAAGGATTGACTCTGAGGGTCGGGCTCGCTGAGCCTTGTGGGTGTGCTATAAGCATACTATTGATTCTTGTGGGGAGTGTGAGTAGCGATGACCTCGACATCAACAACCAGTTAAAACCATAGGAACACGTGTTGCTGTGTCGTTCACAAGATATAGAAGAGTTTAAAGAACAATTCTTAAAACATCCGATTCATCTGTAAACAGGCAGTGTCGCCCATGTGTTGCGACTACCGAAGCAGAATTCGGTATTAGACCCGACCCGAACCCGCCAAACCGGTTGAGTTTCGGGTGCGGGGTACCCGCTCGGGTACTCTGCCGAGAACCGAACCTGACCACTCTAATTCCACAGTATTGTACCTCATAAGATTAGGAACCCTTCTTGGGGGATTCTAGCCGTTAGATCTATAAGACGAAGTCGTCATCGGAGCGAATGCTCTACCGATGGATAAACAGGAGCTGTTAGGTGATAGCATTGGGTGACTGTCAATCACAACCCCATACAGTATCATATATATTTTTATGGTACAGTAGTGAAGCTATTGCCCTTGACATTGTTTAATGTTAATTAAGGAACTTGTTGAAAGAGCCTGAAGTTTACATGACGAGTCAAGCAGATAGTAACTAAGCCTTCGCTGAGAAGGAAGCAAAGTTTGAACCTTTATCTGTCAATGACTTGTTGGAGAGATCATTCAAGGAGCATTCCTGATCCAGCCAGTTTATAGATTCCTGCCCGTGTTGGCCGCTTACATAATAGCGGTAACCTACCTATTTGGGACTAGGGGAAGGTTGGTTTCTCACAATTTGGGCAACTCAATACCAAAGTTCCTCCCGAGTTTTATATCAACTTTTTGAGCTATGTACTGCTCAAATAACCTAATACCAACAAGCAGCCCTTATAGCTCAGTGGTAGAGCGCATCACTCGTAGCCTGAGGAATCCAGTTCACGTCTAGAAGCCTTTGAAGTTGTCATGATGAGGTCCGCGGTTCAAACCCGCGTGGGGGCACTACTTTTTGCATTTTGGCGGGTGATTTGTGCTAAAATGAGCTTCCCTGGAAAGCCACACAAGAGGAAGTAGAATTTACTTGGAATTTTCCCATATTAGTAGCTTCTAACCTCTGTATCTACAGTCTAAAGTACCTCTTGGAATCCTGGTGCCGTTTTTCTTAGAGCACATGAAAATTTTCACTGTGCCGCTCACACACTCCGCCTTCCTAATTAAGAGATACAGAGGCAGTAAATACTTACATTTATCAGACTTCAAGCTCTAATTCACGGTCTATAATGGTGCCCTCTATTGCCGCTCTATTATTGTAGAGATCGATGCTTTAAGTGACCTACCTCTGCTCAATCTGACTGCTATACTCAAGACAGATCTCAAATAGTAAGTACTCTATATACCGGGCCTCCGGTTGCCCGTCATTCTCAATAATTTTCTGTAGGGTCCTGACTCCTGTGAGTAGGATTCTCGACCTGTATTAGACCGGGCTCTTGCGGGGGTGGTGATAGGCGGGAATCGAGGCCAGATCCCACGTCTTATCACTGAGAATGAAATTCAATATATAATAGGGTCTCGCAGTTGGTTAAATTTCTGGTGGAAGCGTACAAAACATGAGAGTGTCCTGCAATTTAGGGCTAGGTTCTGCCGGTATACTACCGATTTAGGAAGGCGTCTTGCCTCAACGTCAGTTAATGTTCGGCTCCTCATTGCTGTCAAAGCTGTATTTTTGATAACTTGGGAGGCCTTAATAGGATTATGTTGGAATTGGAGTAATGAAACGAGATATAGACATTCATATTGAAGGCTTCTGTCACCGCGGGAAGCGTGCAACCCAGGGCAATCTAAATTGTAGATCCAGATTTATGTGATCCTTTGGCCTTCTGAAATATAGGACCCTGGCTATATCTCGTACAGCTGCGCATAGACATTAGGCAATGTGTCTAATTGCTGTATGTGTTATGGCTATATAGGAAGACTTCTCTTACATGGGTATATTCACGAGCAGCTTATCATAGCCTAGAAGGAGGTTCGAATTGTGCGCAATGCTATTTCTGTCTACTCTCTGTGGACGGGCACTTTCCTCCAATAGTTTTAACCGTTGTATTATTGATTGCCTTGTTCCCAGTAAACGTCAATGATAGCCATGCATCCATCTTGTTCGATATCTGCTAATGTGGTTGGCATCTGACTTATATTCATTTAATATGTCATAGATATCTGCATGCATGTATGTAGGACGCGTAGTATTATTTTTCTCGCCTAGAGATCTTGCCATGTATAAGTATCCCCCTCAGAGCTTGATGACACTTAGGATAGACAAGCTGTTCTTCACCTCACTGTCACGAGAGCCTTGTAAACCCGACGCTGATATTTTAACAATTTCTTATCTTTACTCTGCCATACTGACTTCCACAAATTAGCGATATTCAGTAGTCAATAGCTGGCATAAGTGTTAATTCTGAAAGGATATCATAGCATTATAGCACAGTGATGGTTGAAACTATGATATATCCCAGTAAAGAATTGATTTCCAGACATGAATCTCGCACCACCGTAGGTATGCTTTCCCTATTGTTAGGTAAGTTTCGGATGTGCTTTAAATTTAGTATATAATGGCTAGACTATGCTGCAACTAGTCTTTACTTCTTATAATACTGTCACCGTATTCTATAACATGTACTGTTTTAGTTCGCATTTTTGTTTGCAGACATATCCTATGAGCAGTAACGTCCTCGAGAAGTCATCATGGGTACTTCAAAAAGTGCGAATGATAGGCAAATTTCGGTGATGTTTAAGTTGTTTACATGCGCAATATTTGAGATATCTGACATGGACCGCGGATGGCGTATAAACCCTGGTATTACTACATAGCCTTTGATGATAGATGACATAATTAGTATCCACCTGATCGTGCAAGTCGGAATGAATAGAATGTCTTAATGTGTTGGGATTCTCAGAGCTGCTCGTTTTGCCGAAAGTTCTGTTCTATTGAGCGACGCTGTTTGTCGTCAGTGGTGACACAAAAGCATTAGATTTCTCGACATCATACAGAATATCTGGAATTATTTGGGTCTATCCGTGAAAGCGGACCATGGTTAACTATTTCAAGGATGAGAGATAACGAAAATAACGGACAGAGGGAATCGCAGATCTTGATCAGAGATGGCTGATCTCTTCCTGAGATGAAATTGTCGTTGCTGCTCAAAGTCTAGACGTGTTGGTGGCGGTATGTGGTATTCAAAACATGCTGTGGAAATATACACTTCTCATAAACCTTATCATTTGCATACTGACTTACTCTTTCGATGAATTTCTGATATTCTTATCCTGAGCTGGTTGAGTTGAAGATGTATTAGGGTACCAACAGGTCAGTTGCATGATAACGTGACCCCACAATCACATAAGATTTCACTACCACTTCAACTTCGCCTGATTAAGCAACTCACACTATCTATGGTAACTCAAGTCATACCGCATCTTCTTACAGTCTAATTGAAACTACCGTGCTTCCGCCAACTGCAGCTTTCTCTTTTACGAGGATGGACAGGCCTGAGTTTGTTCTTTTTGTTGCGAGGGCCTCCTCCGAAGAGGAAGGCTGGCAAGATTATCTACGTAACAGCCTCCTGTACACACGCAACGCGTACGTGAGACACTATGGACCACTTTCTGAGGAACTGCCTTTTCTCGTCTTCGCCCAATCCTCTAATAGGAGATTTCCTTCTGATCCTGTACCAAGAACCATCACCGCACTCCTGACCCGTGGTAGGGAGACTGGGCGGCCGGTTGTCTTGGTGATAAATGGATGGGATGGGCTCTCTACAAATCCGATCGTATTGGTGGATCTCTTTGAAGCATGGATGCATGAGGTGGACATAACTATTCGGGTATTTGCAGGTAACCCGCGAAGGTTCTTTGAGGTTTCCGTGGTGCATGCGATAGAGGCCATACGGGGGGACTATGAGGACGACGACGAAGCTCCCGTTCTTCCCTCAGACACAAAACTCTTTGTCGATAGGATACATGCGTATTACCTCATGGGGATAACCGGAAATTCGAGCCCGCCAAGTGCCGCGGTGCCTAGGGGTGAATCACGGTCGAACGGTCTCTCTGAGGCGAGGAGCCCTCCATCAGAGATTGGCGATAGGGGATACAGTCCGTCAATGGAAGACCCGCTTTAGCTTAGAACCTGGATGAAATCACCATCATAAGGGATCAAGCACACGAGATTATGCTGGGCGATGTACCATACAGCGAGGTAAGAATCCCTCGTTATTTGTGTACATTTAATAGCTTTGAGCACCTAGTATTTCTTCGGGTGTTTTATGAGATGGCATTAAATGACGCATCCTCCAGCATGACTCTCAATCACATCGAAAACGCCATCCTCATACACGAAACTCTGAACTTTGATAGCATTCTCCGAAAGCAAGTGTCAGCAAACATAAAGGTGTGCTCCGGACAAAGACGGATAAAACTGGGTCTCGAGGGTGTCTGGAAATGGTAGGAACAGTTCGATGGGTTGGGACGTTTGCTTGTACTGTGGCGTCCTGGGGCGATAGTTGGACGTTGTTCTTTCTACCTTCACAAGAATGGTGGCTCTGCCTTTGTATTATGATCACAGAATCTAGAATGGTTCTGCCTACCTTCTACGGAAACCCATTACCAAAGAATGGTTATTTAATGTGCAATACGTGTCACACTCTACGGCAGACACTGACATTGACCTTTTTCTATCATCGAGTGACATTTCCAGCCGTATCCCTCTTTCGGTTAGTCTGTCTTGAGCTATACAGCAGTATAGATTGTCCTGGTAACTTTACTATGCCAAAGAATCCTTGTAAGCTACTTGTCGTAAGGTAATATTGGTATTGAAAGTTTAGATCTCGAGGGTGCTTGACTGAGGAGTTATTGTCAGTGATAAGGGACGGGTCTTGTGACCCCCTAGCTTTCTTAGAATTATCCTGTCTGTCTCCCCACGAACTCTTTTTTTTTTTTTTTTTTTTCCCTTCTCCAGATCCTGTCAACCAGACGATCCCACTGCGCCTTGAAGACTCCTTGCGTACTTTCCTATCGAGCTTATCTCAACTACCACTAAACTTAGAAGGACAGAAGAGTCCAGCAAATCTTGTTGATCCATCAGTCCCCGACACTATGGTAAGTGACCTGATAACCCACGATGTTTATTCATTTTCCCCTTTCCCAATAGTGTGTCTCTTGCTCTGGGCATCACCAAGATACTTGTAGATAACGGAGCAAGTACAAGATGCTCTGTGGCTATCCCCTGTCTCTTGACGCACTGTTCCTGATGGCTCGATGCATGATCTCTGAGGGCACGACGCCATCAGCGTGAACCTATTACAAGATTACTATGAGTCTAATGCTATCATGCAAACTCAACATCTAATGCCGATATCAAAATGTATAGTAATACTAATATGGGCTTAGTCTTCGGTCAGTTGTCAGTCAACTCTATAGGAGAAGGATTCTTCCTTGCTAACATTATCTATCACAGGACGCTGCCCCCGCCCCCCTATCAAACTCATATACGGCGCGCAGGCGCAGGGCCATTAAGGCCCAAGGGAAAGAGCAGAAGGCATGAGTGTACTTGTTCCTTAAAGGAATTATGCCAAGCTGATACAATGTCTATTAAGGCCAAGGAGAAAGAGATAGAGGATAAGGAGAAGGAGAAGGAGAGGGAGGAAATAATGAGGAGATTGTCCTTCGATGAATAGATTGTGGCTTGTTGTTACAGAATATTTTAATCGCGAGATCGCATACCAAAATCGATCCATGAGTACTCTTTGTGCTTTAATTCCAGCCGGCAGCAAAGCTTAAGATTGGAAGTTACAAATAGGAGCAAGATGCCAGTTATCGAATTCCACTCGGGTGTACCCGTTAGGTTCTCTTGGAACAATTCTTTTCCGGCGTTTGGTTTGATTGCGTGTTCAAGAATGCTCGAATAGGACTATCCATATACTCCGTAGTTGACCTTTGTTTCACGGTAC